TGGTGTTTCACTCGCACATTGGTGATTTAAGAGCAGAAGTGGACTTGAAATATAAACATATTTCACAAGACTGAATTTGAGCAAACGTTTATTTGATGGCACAAGAATGGCTTGATGCAATGCTTGTGCCTTAACTGATTTCATTTGTTTTGTGCTTTTCATCCACAGGGACGAGTCATTACATATTGTCATTTTTCATTCATTCTTTATTCTTTTATAACAACCTTCATTGGCACATTTTAGATAAATAAATGCGTCTTATAGTTCCTAACTCCAATGTTTTTTCTTATGACAAAATATATGACAAATGAGCCCAATAGTTGTGACATAGCTACTCAAAACTTATCAAAATATAGATATTTACAACATGAGCACTTTGCAAGAAGCATTACAACATTTAAAATTCATGAATTGCGTAATGACTTAATAAATAATTGTTTACATCGATGGCACTCGTTACAAAAATACTTGTATAGGCCTACAGATACACACTAGGTAAACCTCACCACTGTAAATCATCTGACATTAAAAAAAACAAAATTAATCCAATATCTAGAAACAGCCAGTTTGTGTAATAACTTCCACCAGTAATGGAGTAAAATGCTCTTACTTTTCCTCCGTCATGGCATTAGAAAGCATTTGAAACCTATTAAACGATTCACTACGACCCCACTTAACAATGAATTCTCATGTTACAGATAATTGATTCAGAATATTGAACCTTGATATGAAGCCTGATCCCTTTAAAGCAATAATCTCAAGTGGCACGTCACATCCTGAATTGAGATATTGAGATCCTGAATTGAGATATAGTTAGAAAAGCAAGCTTATAAACTTTATAAGAGAGGAGATGATGCTTCCAATATCTTTTGTTTGCATCTTTTGGAACAGGATTTGTGTTTCCACGTGATGTCCAATGTTAAAACCTGGGTTGTGTTGAGAACCACTGCATTAAATGACACAATCCTTCCCACAGGCCTCCACTAGCTGCTGCTTTTGACTTTCGAAGGGCGAACAGTGGAAGCTGTGTGCTGGAACGAAGCCTCCCAGGTGACGGAGGGTTTTGCACATTGGGCAGGGATATTCGGCCAGGCCTTCGATGTCCTCAAACGCCAGGTTGACGATCTGGTCGGAGCAGGGGTCGCAGTACAGGTGTCCACAGGAGAGGCGCTTCAGCCTGGCCTCGTATGTGATGCAGCACTGGCAGTGAGGAACATCAGAGCCCAGAGACAGGCTACCGGTCAGAGAACTGCTCTCCATGCTGGCGGCCTGACTCGAGCCCAGCTTAGTGGACGACCTGCGGGACCACGGGGAAGAGAAATCACAGATAAGATCTCTTTAGTGTTTGAATTTTGTTGTAGCTTATCTGGTTTAGCATGTTACTGGCAATGCTAAGAAGCAGCACATGAGGCGAAATGTATAGCTTGAATGCACAACTGACAAAGTTTCTGTAATCATTATGATCACAACTATCTGAACTATGCTACTCGCATTAATTTTGCAACTTTTTACTTATAGTGGGCATATATATAATGTGTGTGTATATATATATATATATATAATATTAATAAATAAATAAATTAGTATTTATTTACACATCTGAGATTTGAGGAGAAATATAACATTTCCACAATGGACGATAGTGTGTATCGTGCGTAACCTGTAACATTAGGCCTATAGTGTTGGACCCTCGCATGATACTTCATCATTTCAGTGTTAAAGTCACCCTTTAATAGCTTAGACCAGCCTAAAACGGTTTGTTGGTCTAGTTTAAGCCAATCTAACAGCCTGGTCAAGCTAAACGTGCCCAAAAAAACAGCCAGACAACTAGATCATCAAAACATTTGAATAAGGTAGATGATTAAGGTACATTGTTATGCATGCCATACATTGGGTTGTTATTAAATCATACATCATGCAATGTACATGCATAGTGTGACAATGCACAATCTCTGTAAAGATGATGTTCGGAGCAGGTATTGCCATAGCAACCCATTTATAGTCTGCCATTGTTCAGTTCGCCAACACGATTCCTGCATATGAATGCAAACACATTCATACAAATAATGCGCAATACTGATCACAGTTTGTGAGACATGACGTACCTGTGCGAAGAGGACGGAGAACCTTTAAAACAGTCCAAGCTCAGTGTCGCAATAATCTTCCAACACATGTCCATTCCTCTCATGGTAAAAGACTGGAGTGATGAGACATCTGTTCAAGCGACTCATAGTTTTTTAACATGTTCCCGCACGAGACCAGACACCCAGAACGCCACACGCGGTCAGTAAATGGGTCATTAAAACGCAGTTCACGACGCGATCGGTGGTTTATCGTTCTCGAGGTGGGAAGCAGGTCGATATAAATCAATAGCAGGCGATTGCTCTCGATGGTCAGCGCGAATGAGATGCAAATAGAAACTGAGCGAGAGAAAGACCTGGAAAATCTCCTCACACGAGCGCAGCGCGCGACTCTCTAGTGAACAGCAGCGCTGCGCGAGCGTCTCTACAGGATCCTGTTTTCAGAAAGTTTCAGTCAAAACACGCAAATGAAATCATAACTCGATCACTGAGATGTTTTATGGTGAAACGTTTTCAAATTTGTCAATTAAAACTATTATATTTTTATGTTACTGTATCAATTAATGCTTTAATGTAGGCTAATCGAGTTGGTAGGCTATCCGTTACACCAATCCCATTATAAATTAGGTTCTAGAACTTTTTTGTAGTTACTAGTAACTATTTAAATATATAGTAGGCCAATATATTACAGTATTCCTAGTATTAATTGAAATAGTATTTGAATGGTGTTCATTCCTATAACATTTATAAGTGTTTGGTCTCTACGATTTTTTTATAATTTGATATTATCATTAACTGCACAGCAATATGCAAATGTGCTGAACTGGAAATGTATATTTTGAATTTGACCATGTTTATCCTCACACCTTTTTACCTTTTTTATAATCTGGATCATAGTTATTTTACCTTTTACCTGGATTGTATTTTACTTTTACCATATATTTACACTCACTGGCCACTTAGGTCACACTTCAGAAATGCATCTGAAGTTCAGACTGAGCATCAGAATGGGAAGAAAGGTGATTTAAGTGACTTTGAACGTGGCATGGTTGTTGGTGCCAGGCGGTCTGGTATGAGTTTTTCGGAAAACTGCTGATCTACTGGGATTTTCACGTATCTTTAGGGTTTACTGAGAGAATGGCCCCGAAAAAAAATGAGAATAACCACTGAGCAGCAGTTCTGTGCGCAAATTGACACATAGAGGTCAGATGAGAATGACTAGACTAGTCTAGCTGAAAAGGCAACAGTAACTAAAATAACCACTGGGCCTGAAGAGGATATCTGAACACACAACACAACTCAGGCTACAATTTACACAAAACTGTTTTTGGCGTATAAATGCCACGAGAAATGATATTCGTGCTATAGATACGAGCTTTCATGAGATCGGTCTCGACATTCAGATGGTAGGGTCAAAATTTGACAAACAACATGAAAAAACCTTCTAGCAACAGTCCAGGCTGCTGGAGGATATTCTCTTTGAGCCCCATAGTGCCATTTTAGCGTCATTTAAACACCATATAGCCCAGTATTGTTTCTGACCATGTCCATCCCTTTACGACTACAGATCTTCTGATGGCTACTTAGGACAACACACCTTCTCACAAAGCTCAAATCACCTCAAAGTGGTTTCTTAAACATGACAATGAGTGCTCTATACTCAAATGGCCTCCACAGTCACAGATCTCAGTAGAGCACGTTTGGGATGTGGAGAACTGCTTGATGATATCATGACAATACAGACCGACACTGTGTTAAAGTTTTAAAAGGATTTGCATTTTCGTTTCATTTTTAAGCTGAATAAATTACGTGTCATATTCAGATGGCATATTCTGCAAATGAGATGCTGTGCAGGTCTAAACCGAAGACTTCCATCTGTTTAATTGTTTCGGGCCGTCCTTTACAGCTGGAACAGCTCTGATATGGTCCGTCTGTTTCGTGTTTATTTAGACATGCAGTGTGTTTTGGTGTACTTTGCTGATTTATTTAAATAAGGATAATAATATTAAGGATATGACATGCCAACAGGCCTCACGGCGACTGGGACCAGAGAAATATGCTCTTTCATTTCAGTGCCTGCAGCAAAATAATGCTGAAATATTGACAATTTGGCATATAATATTTTTGGAAGAGAAAAAAATCCAGCTAGACACTGCAGTGTGACACTTTTTGAGGCACTAAAAAGCCAGTCTGCAGGGAGCGGTTAACAACAGTTAGTAGTCTTTGTAGACTGGAGTCAGGAATGAAACCCAGAGCACAAATTAAGATGTTGAGTCAGAAGCATCTGCTGGAGGTTTTCTGTTTTAATAGCTGAAAGGTGCTGTATCCTCATGAGGCGGAGAGGTGTAATTTAACATTAATCAAGTAATCCATTGTTGTGACAAGGTTTCGAGGAATTAAATAGAACAAATAATTTCATCTTGGCTTGTTACAGCTTGATGATGATTACGCTGTAAGTATAGCAGCATATGGGTGATTTGGTTTCTCCATTTTCCTGAACTAAATATACATTAATGAGCACATATATTTTTGAAAGAACTAAGTGTTTTTAGCTAAGAATAAACAAAGAGTTACATAGTGTAGCTTTAAGAAAAGAAAATGTTTTTTCTGTCTCTGTTTCATCAGGCCATAGTAAAAAAAAAAGGAAAGAAACTCTAGGTTTACAGTAATGAATTAGTTATCGTTCTGATGTAATGGTATGTGATGCAGTATAGCTGCTTGTGAAACCAGCAGATGTTCCTGTTGTCAGCAGGAGAATGGTGACTGGCCTTATTTGAAAACCAGTCACATCGTCATTCTGCCTGTTGCTAAGCACTGCATTAGTCCATTATGTCCAATAATACTGGCACTTCTGAAACTATGTCTGACAGTCACAGGTTTTGCAGTGCAGGTTTCATCGCAGATACCTAATTCCACAACAGATTGCAACAAATAACTAAAAATGATGTGGAACTGGATTTTTTTTCTTTTTTTCCCTGAGATTTATATGCAGATGTTATGATTCATATGATGTGTGCTTCAAAACAACAGCTTTTAAAAATGCTGAAGGAATCAGCAGCTGTGCTAATACAACCAAATCACCTCATCATGTAAATCTGTTAAAAGAAATAAACTGTTGTTCAAATTAGGTAGGCTAATATCCAGTTTTAAAACCAAGATCCGACTCTAAGTTGGGTGAGATTTTTCTAATATTCAACATTAATATGACAAGCTTCCACCTTGCTTGACATTCGTATATGGCCTATAGTTAGACCTAGGCTATAAAAGCATTTTAATTCTTAATGAATGTTATATACTGAATATTTATGTCGTATCATATTGCTGTTCCATAGAATTGATAGTGAAAATTAAATAAATAAACAAATAAAAAATCATAGCCTCTTGGCATATTGGTTTGTTTGATTCAGCCCCAGGAGTTTTCAAACTGGAGTATGAGGACCGGAAGAGGGTTCGTGGAAAAGTTAGGAGAAAAACAGAGTAAAAAAAAATGTTAAACAAATGCACAAATTAATAATAATAAAATTTAACTATTTAAATTTAAATCAGTGCTGTCAAAATCGATTAATCTTGATTTGTGATAGAGAGAGAGAGAGAGAGAGAGAGAGAGAGAGAGAGAGAGAGAGAGAGAGAGAGAGAGAGACTTTATACATGAAAACATGGAAACTCCTGTAGGCTACTTACCTCTAGCAGACATGTTAATAATTAGCAAGAGTATCCCTATTTTAATCTTTGATAAAGGCAGGTTATATTGAATTTACATTAATAACAGTCGATGAAGATGGAGAGAAAAGCGCATCATGGTTCCGTCCTTTTGGCCAATTATGTGCAGATTGTGCACGAGTTAGAGCACGTGCAATCATCCACAGACCAGTGATTTTGGACTCGGAGCATGTTCTTAAAAGGCATTAAACACACAATATGACATCCATTTAATATAATAAAAAAAATAACGTAACAGATACAGAAAAATGCTTCTATTTGTATCATTTTGCTCGAGGAAAACACTGACGCCTGCGTAAACCCTTTTGAAATTTGAAGTCAGTTTGGATTAAACATGTGACGTTTTTTTGATCATAATAAAAACCTGTTTTAATTAAAACATCGGTGATGCTGATAGCAAATTAATTTCGGATCGCTCGCACATAGATACAGTCGGCAACGCGTCATAGTTGGGGGGCGTGGTCGGCGTGGGGGAAAGCAGCGCGACCATCCTATGTATTTGAATGACAAAAATGTCATATTGCGAGTCATTTATGCCTGCCGACCGGCAACGATACATTGCAAATTTAACTGTAATAGGTTATGATTGCCCTTATTTAATTAAAAACTGGGCCAATGACCCAACCAAATGGCCGGAGGTGTCGTTTCCAGACTATTATATCTGGTTGAATCTTCAGGTAAGACATCGCGGAAGCTACCGGCAACACAAGCCTATTACTCAAACAACTTGCGTATAAGTTACTATAAGTCCATAAAACCATGTCACTTACCAATTGTACGTATGCTTCACTCCAAACTATTAATCCTTTTGTAAAACGGTGATCAAAGTAGTCGCTACGAAGTTGCAGAGGGACTTTGCTGACAGTTATCCGAATTCTCACAGACTGCAGTCTGATAACCTTCAGCTGATAACGCTAATAACATCCCTTATGAAAAACAACTAAAGGAATCTTGTAGTATTTTAGGACAAACTATTATAGTAACGTTAATCCTATAGGAATACTATAGTATTTTGGGACATAGCCTAGAAGTATAGGTATTAATGAACATCACAGAAGTATTATACACTACTATAGAATACTAATAGCCATAGGATTACTATAGTTCTTTTTCGTAAGGGACGTAACGTCAGACAAATCTGGCCCACTGCCTAATACGAGTTAAACATCTACTACTATATCACACAGGGACCTCTACTCACACAGTAATCTAATAAGATATGATTAATTTTGCCATTTTGTCCTCCTATCCGGTTCTGCATGTATGTAAGAAAGGCTGTAGAACTTCAATTTGTAATTTGTTAGTTTATTGGTGGTACAGAAAACGACACCGCAACCCTTCGGCATGATTGTCCCATGTATTTCAATGAGCGCCAAGGCAATGATTTCCCCCACGGGCTAAATTCACACCACGTGACGGGGCGTTCCCGGGGGCGTTCCCAGACCAACCGACTGTATCTATTGGAGAGTGGTGAGGGATGAAGGGACCGCTCTAGACCGAATTAGCCAGATCTACTATGGCGATGGCTTGGCTCATGAATATTAACTACGTAACATCACGTTCGCCTAAATAGACCAAAATGATTGGCTGAAAGGCAGAGAGTGCGAAGAGTGCAAATCACGTGACGGTCGCCCAAACGTTTGGCTGAAAGAAAGTTGAGTGAGTGACTGTCAGTTGGCCTATCTAAAATTTTACACTCGGCCATGAATACTAGCTAGATTACGTAACTGGACGCTCCAGGAAGGTTACCATGCAACGTCAGTCTGCCTATTAATATTAACAAGTCTAGCGTTCGCCATAGTAGGAATCGTAATTTTTCCTGTGGTGTAGGGTTGCACCCCGTTACACGTCACACGCGCCTTCGTTACAGGGTGAAGAAGATACAGGCAATGTCACACAGCCCTCCTCATCATCACGACTAAAAATTCTTCGTATCTTATATTCAGTAATTCTTGACAGCATTTGGAAAAAATAATAACTGAATCGCACCGGTAAGTGACCTCTATTGCTAATTAAGTCGTGTTTTGGAGCTGATTTATAATTAGTGAATCTGTGTAGCCTAAATATGATTTAATGCTCGTCCATGTTTTAAATTGCACATTTATATAGACATACATACGTGTTTTATGTTATATGTTGCACCTTCTACAGGCTAAAATGCATTCATTTGGAAAATAATGTGAGCACATCAATGATGGATGCAAACGTAATCATCAAAAATACATCTATTACAACACTGTACGTAAATGATATACAAATCTGTTTTGACACAATATATATATTTTTTATTATCATTGGCTCATGCATCATCTCAAAAATAATTTTACGACGAGCAGATTTTTTGTGCTGTATTTTGCACCCAGTATAGCCTATCCTACGTCATATTGTCACGTATTTACTGTATTTATTTTAATCTTGGTTTGCCATGTGTTAAAGAATAGATCAAAAGAGCAATTTATAAAAGCCTTATTCCCATAGAGACAAGGCACCTTAAACCTCGCCCCTTCACCTAATATATCTATCCGTCAGAACAACACTGATCGGGCTTTTCCATTTCCCTCGATTTTGGGCTGCTATCGGGTTTCATATTTTCTGCAATTGATTAATCTCGTGAAATGTAGATTAAAACGAGATGTTTTGCTCGTGCTATCTTGAAGCATCAAAATGACCTTGCAGCAGTCATGAAGAATGGAAACCTGCTACATGTGTGCGCGTGTGTGAGTGTGAATCTCCTCGATGATTTATTCCATTGCTGATCGCATTCAATCTTGTCACGACAGCATGTGCATTTGGTTTTCACATTGATGCTCTATGGATCTCCATGTGTCCGTATACTGCTCCTCCTTCAGTGAAATATAATGCCTTTGAGCTGGAAATAACCAACCATCACTGTTGAGTGCATGCATCAAATGTTAAGTGTGCTCTTTACCGTTTCCTACACAATTGTAGATTGTGCAGAGCTGAAGTAGCTAATATGCAAAATATGTAGTATTACAATGCTAGAGCTTTATGTTCTAGCAATGCAGAGATTTACGTTGTCATTACTGCATTGATAGCTATATCCTATGTTACATTCCTATTTATGCAGCAGATCTTGGTTTATTAGCTATTATAGTTTGGCATCTGACAGTATTGTTAGTACACAATTAAAAATAAAGGTTCCAAAGGGCCGATGCCATTGTAGAAGAACCAATTTTGGTTCCTCAAAGACTAGTTTTTAAAAGAACCATTTTGTCTTAGTATGAAGAATGTTTTATTAATCTAAGAACCTAAAATAATCTAAAGAAGTTCTATGAATGTTAAAGGTTATTTGATTGATTGATTGATTGATTGATTGTTTATTTCATTCGTGGAAATTTTCCATTAACTTACTTCATCATCCTCATATATATATATATAATTTTATAAAACCATGATGAAAAGGAGGCAGGATGAAGAATATTTTATATTTTCTGCCCCCTCCACAAAAAGATAAAAATAAAAAATAAACTCAACATATCAAACATAATATTGATGCCATGCCAATAAATAACCTTTACTTTTAGGGTGTATGTAGAGCTTTAGTTAGTTAGTATTGATATTAGATATTATTTGATAGATATTTCTAGCATGAATTTAGCATGTTAGCAGTATTTGTGATGTTTTCTCAGTTGGAATAATTACTTCTGCTTTATAATTTACATTTGTGAGTGCTAACTGTAAATTCAGATCCTTTTTTTACATTGTGACTACTGTAAAAAAATGTTGTTGGTTTAATTTAAGAAAAAAACCTGGCTGCCTTAAAAATGTAAGTTCATTGAAATGGAAAAATTTAGTTAATACAATGAAGATTGATTTAATCATCAGAAACTTAAAATATTATGTTATCTGAACTACATAAATTATTTAAGTTGTTTTGACAAAAGAAATAATGTTGTGATTACAAATCATAAAGATATTTTTTTTACAGTCAGTGTATATTCATAAGCACACAATAGTATCACAGTAGTTAAAATCTAAGGAGAATTATCATTTATCATTGGGTCTTTTCCCAAAAAGCATCACAATGCAAATTAATATTGACAGTATACTAACTTAGTGATATGCAGAAGTCTGAAAGTTTGATGTGCAATGTCACAGGTCATTGGTAGGATGAGCTACAGTGTTACCATAACTTTGATCCGGATCTGTTTGAAAGTGTCCAAGCCTGTGTGAAGGACTTGCTGTTATTTGTGGGACGCAGCTTCAGCTCCAGTCCTCTGGTGCTGCTCAGGATTGCGGTTGTTCCTCAATCATTGTGTGCTCTCTGCGCTGCAGTGCTCTTTTCAGAGTAACCTTGAGAGGAATCCTCAGAGGAAGAGAGAGAACAGGGTCAGAAAAAGTGTTTAACGGCACGGCAGGAGCGTTTGTCTCTGATCTCTGGTGCTGATGCCTTATCTGACTCGGCCATCATTCAGGACTCATTCAGGAGTCAGGAATAAGATTATCACTTGAGGTTGGTGCAGCACATTTTCATGTCCATGTCATGGATTAGAGTACATTTTTTTAAGCTTGGAAATCATGTTAGTTAGTTTATTTTTTTATTGCGATATTGCAATTTTCACAATAATTCCATATCCACTGGTGCTGCTCTGCTCTTTTAATATGAAAAACTGGCAATTTGTTAAAGTAGGCATAGAGTGGAATTTGCAATAGTCTTTTCTTCCCAATTATCTATCTATCTATCTATCTATCTATCTATCTATCTATCTATCTATCTATCTATCTATCTATCTATCTATCTATCTATCTATCTATCTATCTATCTATCTATCTATCTATCTATCTATCTATCTATCTATCTATCTATCTATCTATCTATCTATCTATCTATCTATCTATCTATCTATCTATCTATCTATCTATCTATTATATAGAGTAAAATGTCTTCTCAAATTAGAAACAAAATTAAACAAAAGGACTTTTTTAGGACTTTTTTTTCCCCTTTGAGAATTGATTGGATTGCTGCTGGTAGATCTCATGTGAGTGATAGGATGTCCCTAGTAAACTACTAACTAGTATCCACACTAAATGTGCACAGATAAATCATTTAATAAAAATTGAATTGTTAATTTAGATTTTATGGTGATTTGAAGAAATATTTCAAGTGATTCTTACTTTCTTTTTTACGCAAAATATGTTTTCTTGGGATTATTGTTCTAATTGGTGATCAGTTTATACGTTTTTTTGCCTTTGTGTCTTCAATATCACCTTCCATCCTGTTAGTCTTCAAAATATACTTGCATAACAGCATGTTAACGTCTGGATAAATGTTTAGAGTGAAATCGAAGGCATGCCAATTTTTAGAGTGGAATGGAAACATCACCAAGGTGGAGCCATCTGTAAATTCCCATTCACTCGTGTTTGAACCAAAACCTATACATTACTCTCTCAGCATCAGCATGTGTTCACAGAGAGAAGGCTAAAGGCCACCAACCTATTTGAAGCGTAACAAATAACAGTGACATCACAGTTCTCTATCACTCACTCTTAGAAAAAACGGTTTTATGAAGTATAGGGCTCTTTACTCAACTCCAAAGAACCTTTTATGCTAAAAGGTTCTATAATGACAAGAAAGAACCCTTTTGGCACTAAGGTTCTTTATAGGCTATTATTCATTCATACATTACATTATATTCTGCAATATTTTGTAGTTTTAATTCAATTATTGTTTATTAAACTATTGTAGTAACTTTATCACATTTTAATCATACTGATTTTTGGAGGAGAAAAACTGAAATGCCACCCTTCATGTGATATTGGTTAACTACATAAAATGATATAAATATATACATTTTCTAACCCCCATATCTTGAATTTTTTGATCATTCACATGCATTCATAAATACATTTTAGGGTCTTGATGTTTGTCAATAATATGAAATATTTAATCCGGAAAGGACAAAACAAATGATAATGAATAAACCCAAAAGGTTCCAAATAGAACCTTTTTCCTGGTTACAAAGAACCCTAAAGGGTTCTTATTATTGAACCCTTAAAAAGGGTTCTGTATAGAACCTTCCAAATAGAACCTTTTAAGGTTCTATATAGAACCTTTTCTTCTAAAAGTGAGACATGTGATTTATTTAGAACTTTTTTCAAGGTTAGATCCAGATGTCCTCAGTTTCACAATGATGCAAACGGAGGGTGAGAGGTTTCTTTGAAACTGCACTATGCTTACGTTTAGTATATTGCATGAGTCTGCATATCATACTGTAATCTCTCACCCATTAATCCCTGCGGTAAAATATGTGCTCCTACAGAAAGAATTCTCATTTCACCAGGATTTCATTACACTATGCAGAATGTGCCTTGACTACATCTGCTATTTAAACTTGTTACGTTCACCATTTTAAAGGGATATTTGTTATCATCATTTACTCACCCATCATGTTGCACATGTTCGAAACACAAATGAAGATATTTCTCTCCCTCCATTAAATGTCTATATATATCCATAAAGAGATCGTAAAAGAAATCCATATGAATGGAGTGGTTTAATCCGGTCGCTTTATATGATGAACATATTTAATTTAGGCTTCCATTCACAAATAAACACTGATCAGCGAACGTACAGAGCATTCAAATATGGTAAACGGTGAACCAGGTCCATTCTCTCAAATCACACCAGCCTGTTTGGGCTTCCTCAAGAACCAGTGAGGTTTATCATATTTGAGGTTCTATGTGTAATTTGCGTTGACATTTATATGCAAATAAAAGCCTAAATTAAATCTGTTCATCATATAAAGCGACTATGATGCTTCATAAGACTTGGATGAAACCATTAGATTCATATGGATTTACAATCACTTAATGAACGTTCTGAAGCATCAGTTTTGGATGAATATGCTTTCAATGGAGGGAGAGAAATCTCTCAGATTTTTGTAAAGACGAACGAAAGTACTATAGAGCGACATGAGGGGGAGAAATTAAAATTTTTTAGGAAAGTAAAATTGGTCAGTTTTAATTTCAT